CTGGCCAAAGGGATATTCCATACCATGTGACGTCATGCTCAGCATATAAAAAGCTGGGGGAAGAAGAAGGAAGGGGAGGATGTTCGGAGTGATGGCATTTGTCTTCCCAAGTAACTGTTACGCGTGATGGAGCCCTGCTTTCCCGGAGGTGGCTGAACACCTGCCTGCCGATGGGAAGTAGTGAATGAATTCCTTGTTTTGCTTTGCTTGTGTGCGCGGCTTTTGCTTTACCTATTAAACTGTCTTTATCTCAACCCACGAGTTTTCTCACTTTTGCCCTTCTGATTCTCTCCTCCATCCCACTGTGGGGGAGTGAGCGAGCAGCTGTGTGGTGTTTGGTTGCCGGCTGAGGTTAAACCACAACACGTACAAGAACGGGAACTAAAGTTTTGGTAGTCCTTTTAGGCATAAATGAAATATTCAAAGAGGAGCTCTTGTGAAACTTCATGCTTTGAGTTATCTCTCTCAGAAGTAAGAGAAATCCAGTTTTCTCTTCTACTAAAATTGTGTCTTGCTTTTCAGACTGCATGTCTTACATAGTAAACAGCTTTTACTGCATATTGCACTGTATTTAGTATTCCCATATTATTAGTAAAGGAAATAATTCTTACAAAATCTACAGCTACATTAAATCAAAAACTTATTCATCATATCAACCTGAATTTAAGGTCATTGTCACAAAGATGCCACAAAAGGTTTATATACAAAAGGTAAACATACTACTGCACTGCATAAGAAACTTTGCCTAAGCTCTGACCAGAAGTCTGAGATGTTTTTTTTAAACAGTGGGTCCACTGAGGGAATTTGAAAAATACTATGTGTTATTATATTCTTTAACTCTTAGTGTTTAAGTTAAAACATTGTACGTGTGTGTGGGAAAGAAGGAAGCTGGTCATCATTCAAGACTAGAAAGATATACATCTGACAGTAGAAGAAAGCAAAGCTATTACTTGATGAACAAAACAGGTAATGTTTCTGATGAAGTATCATATTAAGTACATAGTGCAAATAAGCCACTTTTCAAGTAACATTTCTGCCATTCAGGTGTCACTTGTCAAATATCTTCAGTCAGATAAAAAATTCTAAAACTACATCTTCTGTACTAATTGCTACATCTTCTGAAAGATTAATTACACAAGCATAGGATATTCACACAGGAATAGAGTACGGTCTGGGTTAGATGACGTTTTCCTCTTAAAATCTTATATGTGAACACAGGTAACACTTAATGCATCACAGACAAAACAGTAAAAGAATTAATATTGCCTAATGAGAGCAGAACTGTTCCATGTGGTATCAGTCATTGTCAGTTATAACAAGACTGCCTCCACATACATATCGAAGTGGTTCTGCACGAAAAACGAGCTGCAAAAGTACGCAAGTACAGTAAATTAATTTGTTTAAGGCAACAGATGCAATATCATGTTACGTGAGGGAGAAGGGAGATAAAGCAAGGAACAGAAGTTTGTCAAAGAATTTGTCAAAGGATATAACACAAGCCAATGACAAAATCATTAGAAATCTGTTTTCACATTCTAGCTGCTATTAGCATCTCTTTCCAAAACCAGAAAAGCCAGATTAAGTACCAAGGCATTAATAAAAAGTAATTTAATTGCCAGGTATTCAATTAAATAAAAATCCTAATGAACTTCCTCAGAAACTGAAGATAAAAAACAAACCCCAAACCCAAAAAACAGCCACCAAAAACCAGCTGAGTTTAGTACACATTCTTTCAGCGACTTCAGACAAATGTGAATAAAAAACATGCAGATTAGAAAAGTGCCTTACTTCAATTTTTCAAAGTTCTCTGGTTCCAAACTCCATATTTCTTCAACTTGTGCTCCTCTACAACCTGAAACAAGGGAAGATACAGGTTTCTTCAACTACCCCATTAAAAGGGATGCAGCCAGTAAAGATAGACAGATGAAAGAACTATGGTAACATTTAAAACTTGTATGTCCGGGTTACGGAAAAGTCTATTTACAGGCTTTAACTCATCTTCATTAAAAAAACAAACCAACCAAACAAGACAGGTCAAGAGAAATTATTTCAGGAATTTCTCCTGTGTATGGTGATGTTGTCTTTATAACACAGCTGCATTTAAAAAAGAAGCAGAGGAGATTAACATATCTTTGGTCACCTCATGTCCTTTGCTCAACTGAAAATAATATTGTTTTTAAAGACGTTGTCAGCTAGTCCAAAGCAGAACTTAAAACATCTATCTCCAGAGAAAGACCCATGGTAGTAGACTGAAAATACTGTAAACAATACACTCAAGCAATACGTTTGCATAAGACAGAGCCCAAAAAGTTAAAATACTTAGTATGTGGAAGATAAATCTATTAGTTAAATAGAAACACAAAAGGAGAAGCATACCTGGACTTCACTTGTGAGAAAAAGACGTGACAGAAATTATAAATCAATGTACCCTAGCATAAAATCATTTTGCTTCTTTGGCCCAAATCCTGTGTAGACTTATCTGTGGTTTTAACCATATAATCACAGTATTGCCAAAGATATTAAATGCAATTCAATGTAAGATTTAATATTCTAAAAGCCAAAGCAGCCCCTTGCAGGCTACCCAGCCTACTGCCAAGCACCACAGCTCAGCTTGGTCACAGCCCTTTCACATAACGTCCTCCCTCCTGGAGGCTCTTTAACTGAGTCAGCTGGCACACCACCCGAGCACGTATCTAGCCCTTTGCAAATGCTGGTGTTCTCCCCTACGCGGCACGTGCTTATCAAGCTCTCCGGCAGAAGCGTACGCGTGCCCTGGGTGATAGGAAGGGCTCCGTTGCACAGCCCGCCCTGCGACTGGGCACCCACCGCCCTGAAACCGGTAACACCTGGGCCGCGGCGGGGCAGCCCGATGCCGCGGCTGGGGCTCGGGGCCCTCACAGCTCCCCTCAGCCGAGAGGCTGGCCGCTGCCCGCGGTGTGAATATGTGTGCAGGCTGCCGGGGAAGCACAGCGCTGCAAAGCGGGAAGCGCTAGGCGCTGCGAGCACGGCCCAAGGCCGGGATAGCCGCGCAGAGGTCGCAAGATACACGTTCATTCCCACTCGCGTCCGTTTA